AAAAAAAAAAAAAAAAAGAAGTCTTGCCATAGCTGGATAAAGCGAGGAGGAGGAAGGTGAAAATAAATTGGCTAGGGCAGTTTTTTTCCCTTGGCTGTAAGTAATTTAACATCCTGTATATAATTCGATCATTTTAAAGAAAATATTGAAATGTAAGACTGTGCATGATTTGCTTTTAAACTGTGGTGTCTTTGGGCATGCTTCACGTCCCACTGAGCATGTCTTTGTTTTAGGGGAGTGGTTTGTCTTTTGTGTTATTTTTTTGGAGCATGTCTTTAGGTTTCCCTGTGGTATTTTCAATAGCTACTAACCTTTCCTGATACAGGGTTGTAACTGGGGTGGAAATTTACAGCAGGTTCTTCCCGGTGCACAGCGCTGGTTATATACAGGGATGGTCATTTTTTTCACCTGTAGTTGTTTCTGATGCAGCTTATATAAAACAACTGTGGACTGAATATCACTCTAACTGCAAAACAGTAAGACTTGCAGCTATTTTGTTGACATTCGGAATGCTTCTAAGTAAATACAAATGATTTTACCAAAATTTTTTAAACTGGATGTGGCTGTGCATGCCTACTCCCTCATCCCACCCACTCGGGAGGCTAAAGCAGGAGGAACACAAGTTTGAGGTCAGCTGCAGCAATTTAGCAAGACCTTGTCTCACAATAAAACCTAAGACAGGGCTGAGGATATAGCTCAGTGGTCGAGTTCCCTGGGTTTGATCCCCAGGACTACAAGCCACCCCCCACTTACTGTATAACATGATGCTCTGATTACAGGATTAGCAGGAAAAAGTTAACAAATGGCACACAGGACCCCTGGTACTGCAGAACTCTAAATAATGTTGCTTTTCTAAACAAATAACACGTTTCATATATCAAAAAAGGGTAAAAAACATAAAAATATCTATAGCTTCTTGCTCTGGAGATTATGAGTAGCTTTCTCCCATAGCTATCAATGTTTACTAGAGAAACAGATATAATACAAATACATAAGGATTTACAGGACTGGCTTACAACGGGCACCCGCAGAGTCAGAGGAGGAAGCGTGCAGAGGCTGTCTGTGCACTGGAGACCAAAGGATCCAGTCGAAGGTCCGGAGCTCACTACAGTGTCCGTGCGAGTCCGTATCAGGGGGCCGATGGGTCTGCAATGGAAGGCTGGACAGTCCATGCTGGAAGGCTGAAGGCTCTGCACCGGAAGCTGAAGAGTCGGCGCTGGAAGCTACAGGCTAACATCCAACGTGAAGGTGAAGACTAGAGCTCCTCCCAGGGAACAGCAGTGAGTCTTCCTGCTTCATCTCCCCTTTTATGCCAGCCAGGCAACAAACCGCCCTGGGGTGGGTCTTCTGCACCCCAAGGTGTGGAATTGCGGAGCCAATTTAGTTGAGCTTCTCTTACTCAAATTGACAGTCAACCATCACAACCTTTTACCTGCCAATTCTGATTTTTTTAAATCAAAGGAAATATTTTATTTGAATAAAAATAAAAGCGTCTGAGAGCACAGATGGGGTCAGAACCTGGGGCCAGAATGAAGGCCCAGGTTAGTGAGCAGCTAGCTAAGGGGGCATGGCTAGACCAAGTAGAGAAGCTGGGCAGAGCGAGGGAGACGCTCCGTTGCTCTGGCTCAGGTGCCTGTCAGGTGAGGGTGATGGTGACACCAGAGGCCCGTGCTGCTGGGAGAGCCATGTGCAGCAGGAAGGAAGCATTCTCAGATGCCATGCATGCCCACAGCCACCTCTGTCCTTGGAGCTGACTGGGTCAGCTGACCATTACCCACCTTCTAAGTCACAAAAGCAACCCCACCCTACCCTATGCGCCTTAACTAAGGCTGCCAAGGGTCTGCCCAGTCAGCGAGGGGCAGCTCTATGTCAGGGGAATAGAACAAAGCCACTGGGGCTGGGCCAGGGAGAGAGAGCTGAGCTGAAGGCCATTAGGAGCTCAGAGATGCTTTGTACGATCAGAATCCCTATTACCTACCCATTGGCACGGTGCCCCCAAAGAAGTCCATACTCTAATCCCTGCCACCTGTGAACGTGACCTTATCTAGAAATAGTCTTTGCAGATGTAACTGTGGCTCTGAAGATGAGATAATCATCCAGCACTTGCAACGGGCTCTAAGCCCAATACAGGGGACTCATAAAAAAAGAAGAGGGAGAATTGAGGCAGAAATACAGAGAGGAGAAGGCCATGGGAAGACAGGCAGAGAGAGAAGGGCTGTATACACAAGCCAAGGAGTGCCACGGATGCTGGCAACCACCGGAAACGGAGAGAAAGGCAGGTGGCAGATTCTCCTGTGCAGTATCCACAGAACCAACTTCTCTGATAATCTGAACTTCAATCCACAGGAGAATAAATTCTTGCTGTTTTAAGCTGTTAAAGTGGAGTGATTTTTGATGACAACCCTTAGGGGAAAAAACACCCATACACACCTTTCTATCTCCCCAGCTTTCTTGTTCACCCACCCTTCATCCTGAGGTCCCTCAGCAAGGCCAGAGCAGGGAAGGAATTGGACAGCAGGCACTGGCTAAGTGTCTTCACTACTTGCCTGCCCGCTGGAGCGCTCACCTTCTCCTAGTCATTTAGAAGGGAACAGACAGAGTCTCGAGGTCGATTCTCACACACTAGGACTGAGCTACAAGAGTGACAGCCCATGACTTCCTCGACCTGATAGAAAGAAACAGATTTTGCCCCCCTCCCGAAGGCAGACACTTTATAAAAAGAAAATCTAAGCTAATCCAAGGCATCCCCTTAATTATTTAAAGTTGCAAATCAATATTTCTCATTAGCTTCATTTACAAACCCCAGCACAATAATGAAGGAAATGTTACTTAAATCCATAGACAAAGAAAGAAGCCCAGACAAATGAGCCGAAGAGCGAAAGGCCAAATCTGATATTCTTTAACAAAGGCAAGAAAAGCCTCAACCCTTCCCAGAAAATAAAGCACAGCCACACTCATTGCCAAGATCCAAAGAAAAAAATTTATTTACAATAGAAGATTTTATTTGAAACATGCATTCTTTAAAACAAATCAGCAAACGTGGATCAAGTTTACACTCCTTAAGGCAAGAGTCCCTATGCACGCTGTACATGTTCATATTAAATCAAAAGCTGCTCACCCTGGGAATTCGTGTACAAAGGGCAAGGCCAAGGTCAGCAATTTGTCTTTTATTAGAGAATCAGACAATCTCCCTGATACAGGAACTCTGAGGTCAACTTGCTATGAATTATACTAGGAAAATGCAAACCAATAGCAAGAAATCCTGATAGTCTCCTTAGTACTGCATACAATCAAATCAAACATTATTTAGAAAGGAAATACAGTAGTGCATACGAAAAGTGAAAACAGAACCTGTCCATGTAACTTCAAGGACAGCAGTGTGCCAATGGTCATATTGCACCCAACAGTCAAGTCCAGGCATTTGGTTCAGAGTTAGCTTTTCCCCATTTTGGCAATCAGTTCATCACAAATCTTGGTGAGCTCTTCTATCTCTTTATTCTGAAAGTAAAGACAAGAAAGAAGTTTCCAGTGTTTGAAATCCAGCCAATCAGAAGAGGCACTGGGAACTTTGTGAGGATGAGGTCTGCCCAGCTTTTTGGTTAAAGTAATCTAAAGCAGGAAAAAGAAATGACTTGGAACCACACAATCTGTTCCAGCACACAGATCTAGCTGTGCGACCTTGGGCAAGTTACATAACCTCTCTGAACCTTGGTCTCCTTATCTTTACAATATAAGTGATAACATCTGTCTGAGAAGTAAATGAGGTAACAAATGCAAATAAAAGATAGGAAATGCAAAGTGACTAGCACAGAATACAGGGTTAACCAGTATAGTTCTTGTCTCTATTTGCCTCTGAAGGACATGCTCTGGGGTAATGATGGTCTAGGCTGAGCTCTTTGGTGGCTTTCTGGAGAAAATGCACATGAAAGGTCGTGCCATTCTATCTGGATAGGAGCACTAGCATTATTTGGAAGATGCCCCACAGGTGTTGCTGTGGAGACAGGTGTGAAGGGGGCAGAGGAGATGCAACGTAGCTTCAGGATGTTCCTTATCACGTACCTTGCACATCCTCTGAAGGCCAATCAAGGGTAACCAGCCACACGTTTGTGTAGTAATTATTTCCCAGCCTGTATGATGGGATCCAATGAGATATTCCCATCATGCAGACACGGCTTAGCTGTCAGTGAACTAGACACTGAGGCCCCAGGGTTGAGCTGCTTTAACTGCACCACAGTCTCTAGAGGCCCTCTCCAGGGGACAGGTCTTTCTGGCATCCTGGGTACATTCTGCAGCCCACATTTCCTCAAAGTCTCTATGGGAGGGGAATCGTTAGCAAAATCTGTCCCTGGGGCTGAGCTAAGGCCCTTCCTAGGAGACCTTGGGACTTTCCGGGACATGTTCCAGATCAGAGCCATGAGCTGTTTTAAGGGTAGGACTCCTGGTGTCATGCGTCACAGAGCCGTGCAGGGGGAGAACGATCCTCTTATAGTAGAGGGGGAAGCACGGTCTACCACCAGCTGCACTACTTCCTGAGTAGAACGTATGCTCTGAGTCACGATTCAGAGAGGCACTGCTGGGAGACACGGCTCTGAATGGGATCGTGGGCTCTTTAGGACCATGAATCCTCAGGCCATTAGCATCAGTACCACTACTGCCTTGCTGGGCTGCTAATGACAAACATTTATCTTACTGGAGCGCTTGCTATGTGCCAGTCACCATGCTAGGCATTCTGGACACCATGGCCTCACTCAGTTCTCATGACAGTCACTTACAGAAGTCATTCATAACCCCATTGTTTCAATGAGGAAACTGAGGCTTGGAAAGGTTGAGCCTGTTGCTTAAGGTCGCACAGCCAGTCACATGTGGCCAGCCTGGAATGCAAACTTAAGTTGCCCGGGCAACTACATAGCTTTGTTATTATACTTACTAAACAAAATGCCAAGTGACTCGTGGCTAAGAGGCCTGAGCAGATCCATTAGATACTGATGCCTGGAAGTTTTCCAAGCTCTGTCCTGGGATCATCAGCCACCATCAAACAAACTGCCCCATGGAGGAGCACAGCTCAACATATCTGGTATATTTGGCAAAGTTTAGGCTCTTCCCTTTTAAAATGCAATTCAGATACTAAACTGTCTGGTAACCATTAGCCTTTTCCATCCTAAGAGGAAAAGGTAAAATGAAAACAGTGACCTGTACCATGCATTTTCCTTCCAGCTGTTCGGATTCTGGAGAACTAGGAATGTACTGAAGGACACAGCTGTGACAAGTGGGGGATGACTTGGGACTTCAGGGAAATTCACGTCTAAAATGTTTTCAGAGCTGCAGGGAACCTAGAGACAGCCTTGCCCACAGCTGTACCAATGGCAAAGTAGGATGAGGAGAGGAGCTTCTTAATTCCCAGGGCTCCAGCCCTGACGTGATCTAAGCAAAGTCCGGCAGAGGTTACTGCTGTTTGGCCAAGGTGTCCCTCTAGACCACACTGGAACCTCAGGGTGTTTCTCAGGTAGCAGAGGCCATCTGGGAGACAGGCTGGTGCTCACCTGCCTACCAATGCCAGGTGCCCCTCTACGCCCACATGTATAAAATGTACTGCTTCCCCACGCTGCTAAGCTCTGACAACCAGGGGAATCTTAAGGCTCAGCAATATACTGGAAGGAAGCTACATGTCTAGAAACCCCATTCAAGAAACACACCAGGAGTGGGCCTGCCCCCTATGTAGATAGACTCAGCCTCACTTTCCCAGCACTTTTAGAGCACTCCTGCACACCCAGGGAGGAGGTATACGTAGTAGGCTGAGTATCAAGTGGAAATTTGGAAACCTGGGGACAAGTTGAGTGACCTCAGGAGGTTTGCCCCTGACCATGGAACAAGCGGACATCTGGGCCCCTCTGGCCCTGACAGTATCTGTTCTCTGCGTCAGCCAGTTGTCTCAGCCTGGGGCTGGTGGATACCCCGTCCCCTCACTAACAGGCCCCTTGGATGCAGGAGTTCAAATCAAGTACTATGCCTGGCACATTAGGGGTCCTTAACAAACTTTGTACTAATGAATGAATACTGCAAAGGAATGAAAAATGGAAGTAAACATCTAAAGAATTTCAAAAAAGGAAGAAAGGAAGCCCATCTCAGGACTGGTGTGAAACTGGACCCTCCAGAGGGCGATACCGGTATGCTCAAGAAGAATTGCGCTGGCTCCGCCTCTTAGCTCCACCTCCTTTCATCTGCTGGACTGGCCAGCAGCAGGACAGCACCAGCCCCACCCACAGAGCCCCCACTCCTGTGCTCTTACCTTCTGCTCCAGTGTTCTCTCCAGAGCGTCCACCCGCAGCTGCTCCTTCCGTAGGCTGGCCTGGTAGGCCGCCTGCTCCTGCTGGGCCTTGCCTCGAACCTGCGCAATTTCAGCATTGGCCCTGGGGGAACAGAGGACTCAGAATGATTGTCCTTTGTCATAGGTGGCCACAGATGCTCTGACAGGTTCCTCCTACCTCCCTCAACTCTGGCCAGGAAAAGGGACTGGCTCCAACCCCATCAACCAGAGCCCTCATATAGAAGCTCAATAAAGCCTCCATCCCCAACTCCCACAAGGTAGAAATGTTTTGGGTACCTGAAACATTACAACATATGCCCCCCTACAACTCTCATAGTAGATACTAATCGAGAGTGTGCCCTTAGCACTGGTCATACCAAAGGCATATGGTTCAGCTGCCCTCTCCAAAGCAATGTCAGGCAGCACTGGCTCTCCCAGCTGGGTAAGGGAAGCATTACCTGTCCAGTTTCTCCTCTGCATGCACCTTCAGGGCCTGGTACCTCTGCTCCTCTTTCTTCACTCGGGACAGGTACTCCTGCGCACATTTCTTCAGCACCTCTTCATTCTGGGATGACAAAGGACAGGGCTCGGGCTCACAGGAAGAAACGCCAGGAGTATCAGGAACCCTACAAACTCTAGGGTATGGGTAGAACTCCACAAGACCAAGTTTGGCTCCTGAGCTTTCAAGGATCCTCCTCCTCACAGTCAGCTCAAGTGGACCTGGAGCTCCCTCTAGGCTCTTCCAAAGAGCTCCCACCTTTCCTCCACACATACCCAGCCTCCTGCTCTGCTCATGAGCACACACACACCTTGCGGAAACCTTCTAGGACTTCCTTCATCTTCTCGTATCTCCTGAACAGGTCAGCCAGAGACTTCTCCACAGAGTTCAGGTCGGCCAGGGCTTGCTCCTTCTCCAGGACCAGCTGCTGCACTGTTTGGTGGGACACTGACTTCTCTCTTTGTTCATCCTCTGGCAGGAGAGATGGGGCCAAACGATGGCACCTGAAATCTGTACTGGGTCCCTGGGGCCAGCCAAGCTCTCAGATGCAACTCAGCCTAACCAGTGGTGCATCTTAAACCCTAGCTTTTCCGTGGAATGGATCCACTCCCCAAAGTCCTTCTGGATGGTCTGTAAAGGATGGAAGCATCCAGGATGGAAGGATGCTACAGCCCCAGCATCCCAGACCTGATCCTGTATAGGTGGAAATTAGCCATTATCCTTTAGCCTGTTCAAGGCAGCCCTTTACAAATCTATTCTGGAGACCCCAGTGATCCTATTTTTCCCTACAGCAAACAGATCCCGCAGATAAAGAAGACACCACCACTGCATTTATGTGGGGGCAAGATTAAGGGGTGCTGTGACCTCAGGTTGGAGTGAGCCTCTCTAAAAGTTAGCAAGACACAGATAGTCATTGGGAGAGAAAAAGATTTCTTCATCCCTAAAACATCCCATAAACAGAAGCCCACAAAACTTCCTCCTCTAAATCCTGTTTCACACTGAAAGTTCCTTTGAGCAGCAAGCTCTAACCCCAGTGATGTGCGGCAGAACTGAACGTGGGAACAGTTTGGAGGGCTGATCCTGCTTTGAGGAAGCACTACTCTTCAGCCTGCTCCATGGGCTCGTGACCATCCTGAGCTAATCTCCTACCCGAGACAGCCCAAGCACTACCTCTGTGCCGATGGGACAGGTTTCTCTGACCTCTCTACACACCGCCCCTGCACACACTGACTCCAGGTGGCCGAGGGAGCCTTTGCTCTCTAGGTGACAGCAAGTGGGGAAGGGAGAGCTCACTCAGAGCTCCTGGGGGTTCGTGGCTTAGCAGACTCGCCTTTCTGTGAGCCTCAGCTCCTCTGGGAGAGGAGGGCTGGGGAATCATATCTAGAAATGGTGACCGTGACAGCAACAGCAACCACCAGTTCTATGCCAAGCACTCTGCTGACAGCTCTGCTCGGCCAGAGCTCTGAGCCAGCACTCAGTAGCAGATGAGCTTCCTGAAGTGCAAACCAAGCCACCTCACTCCTGCTCAGAAAATCCGAAGCGCTGCCCCCTGTGCTAGGACTCAACTCCAGACTCCTCCCGCACTGCTCTGCCCTCTATCCTCCCTGGCCTCTCTGCTTTAGCCTCATGGCCTGTACAGCCAGGCAGGCCCAGGAGCTACCCCGCCTCCCTCCATTCCCTCAGGACTCTGGTCCCCTGTCCCCTGTCCCCTCAGGTGGGTGTAGAACATGCTCCCTCTAACATTCCGCAGTTCCTTATTCTCCTCTCGGGACCAGCAGCCCCTCTGTATTATACCAGGCACGCACATGCACAGGTGTGTATATGCTGGCATGCATGCATGCGTGTGTATGCTCGTGTGCCTGGGTCAGTGTGTGTGCTGGCTGCCCACCTCCCACTGTACACACGCTCTTCAGGGGCCGGCACCAGAGTCTGGTGTTTTGTCTGTTTGCTGGAACGTTTGTTTTGCCCACTGCTCTATCCTAGGCATGAAGAATGTCTCTGCCCAGCTGATGCCTCCACACACTCCATGCAATGAATGAACAGGTGAACCTCAGAGTAACCCCGGTGGACAGTTTCTTGTCTTCATTTTACAGAAGGTGAAATGGAGTCACGGTTCACTGAGGAAGCAGCAGAACCCAAACGCAAAGCCCTGATTATGACCACATTTTTACGTAGGGTTCCCATGATGACAGACTCGGAAAGACACAACTCGTGTAACAGCAGGAAGGTCTGGTCTGGGAGCTTTTCCCTGGTAGATGGACATCTTGTTATCTCCCTGTGTGCTATGGTAGGGCCACAACCTGAATGGACCTGATCCCTAACGTGAAAGGGCTCGAAGGTTCTGACTGCTCGGGACCCAGGGCCTCACTTCCAAACCCAGGCGGCTGTCACGTGTGAGCGTGCATTCCAGGCAGCTGGGGAGCCTGTGCACAGACTGTGCCTCACACCCCCACTGGCTGGGACCAGGAATCTGCACCAGGAACAACCTCCTCGTGATGCAGATGCTGGTGGCCTGGGGACCACTGGCCAAGAAGATGCCTGATGGCCTCCATCACTGCCTCTGTGGTCAAAAAGCTCTTCGTGCTTTTACTACCAGCATTCTGGAGCCATACAGGGCAATGGCCAAGAGGTTCCGAAATCTAATTGCCCAGGTTTGAACCTGGCTCTGATGCTACCCAGCTGTGTGACCTTGGATAGGGGTTTTAACTCCATATCTCAGTCTCTTCACCTGAAACTAAGTTTTTTTTGGTATGGGGAATCGAACTCACGACCTTGCACTTGCCAGGTAGGTGCTGTGCTGCTGAGCTATATCCCCAGTCCTCTTCCCCTGAAATCAGGGATAACACTATTTCTGTCTCACTGGGGGAAGATCAAATGAGACTATATACAAAACCCACAACACCAAGAGAGTCTGGTAGCAGTGACCCCTTATCAACGGCACCAGTCCACAGTGAAGCCCGTGAGTTTCCCGTGAATCTGTGCGACAGTGGGCTACAGTGACTCGTAGGGTTGAGAGGGGTCTAACAGAATCGTCAGCAATCCGCTTGCTCCACCCGTTCTCCTCGAAAAGGGCATTTCCATGTTTTATCAGTAGCCAAATGCTTGTTTTTGTTGCATTTTAGGAGCTTCCTTCGTTCCCAGCACACTCTGGGCTGAGATGCCACCGCCATGTATACAATTCCCCCAGCAAGGGGAAAGGAGCCATTTATCAAACGGAATCCATCTGATTTCCTGGATCCAAGACGTCTCCTGCCTCAGGTTTCCTTTCCTCCCCATCTAACCCTTTTAAAAATAGAACTGCCCACTTCCCAGGAGACTGAAGCGATGAGAGCGGTGTGCAAATCTTTTTATACATGACCAATGCAGTTAGGTTCTTCAAATCAGGAAGTCAGCCTGAGACCAGCAATGTGCTGCACCGGACAGCAGAACAATGCCTTTGAAGGCTTTTTCAGCAAAACATTATTAAATTATGTGGAGAATGCAGCGAATACACCAAAGCAAAAACAACAAAAATAGAAAAACAAAACACAAACGGGGTTGCAATGGGGAAAATTAGGGGAAAAGCATTTACTTACCAGGCTTGCCTGTTTGTTTTGCAAGCAAAGGGCAAGAAGCAACAGAAAATGGAAGCAAAACAGATAATCAGGGCAGTTGTTAGGAAAGCAGAAAAAAATCAATTGCACAACCTGGAATGCAGAAGGCACACAACTCTTTTTTTTTTTCTTTTTCCAAATTCTAAACAGCCAGTACTTGCATTGGATAAGACATATCTGATGAGAAGGAACAATGATGGCTGGATCAATGTCACACGTGTGGAGAGCCATCTGTGAAAGCTGTACGGGAGCCACAGAAGCAGACAGAGCTAGCTGGGTGGGCTGCACTCGTGTCAACTTCACAATGTTTATGCTCACGCTGGTCCTGAACTGTTGTTTACCCCCTGCCCCAACTGATGCTGGTTAGGTGGGTATAACTGGGGAACGAAAATATGAAACCCAGATGAGGCTCATGGGAGTGCTGCACACCTGCCCAGAAAGGCGTGACCAATCACAGCTACAACCAGTCCCAGTCTGGCCTCAGGCCCCTGCTGTCTTCTATGGGAATATGAGGACCTTGAAGTATATGGCAGCTTTAACCAATGATCTGTAACAGTCACTAAAGGATGCCAACCATGCATGTGCCACCTTGCCGGTGAGAAACGCTCTGGAAAAGTGGATAACAAAGGGAATAATGAGTGAGGATGGGGAACAGACACACAGAGAGATCACGCTGAGTGACCACGCTACTCCCAGCTAGGCTCTGGGGCGGGGGGTCCTCTCAGAGCCACCCCGAAGGTATAGGAAATTGCTTAAAGGGGCTGAATCTACAGCTCTTGGAGGGGCAACCTTTGGCCAAACATACCAGGTGTCCCTGGGGGAGAGGTGGCATATGCGGCCATAATCCCCGGAGTCAGAGGAAAGGGAAAGCTGTCGTTCTCTGCAGGACCACGCTGGAACTGTATTGTGCACACTCTTTACATCACTTCAGACTGAACACACGCTAGCTGCTCTCATCCCAGCTGCAAATATTCTGTGCGGAAAGCCTCAAAGTCTAGTGACCTTTCCACCACACAGGGACCAGCCACTTGTGCTAAACTCACATGTTTGAGTTATCAAGAGTCTGCTTGTACCAAATTTGCCAGCTAACCAGGAAAAGCTGGCTGTGGGCAGCCTTCTCTCAAGAGCAAAGCTCACGCCCTTCAATCTTCAGTCGAACATCTGTACGCGCATAATCACAAGGGGAAAATTACAACTGTCTATCTCAGATGTTTCCAGATGAGCTGTGGCAGGTCTGACTGATGCTCTCGTGTCCCAAACCTCCAGGAGGCCAAAGGTTTGCTCACTTTGGCAGACATTTCACATTGGAAGATGTGCAGTGGTGCCTTGGTTTACAAACTTAATTTGTTTTACAATTTGGGGAAGATGGCTGCATTTGTGTGCATGAGGGGGTGGCTGTGGTCACGTTTGTCACCCATGTGGAGTTTTTAAATGGAAGCAAAATTCTGCCACACACTTGTTTGGGAACCTAATTCTTTGCAAACAGAAGTGCTCATGGACCAAGGTATTATTGTAAGTCCTTCATTGCCCTGACCACTTTTATCAGCAGTTCAATTCCCAGGGTTTTAAAATGTTTTTGTCTCACCCATACGTGTTCACAAATTCTTAAACCAATTTAACACACTGCATTTGATAGAAAGCACAGTGAGACTGACACAACCAAGTGGTCTCTTCTGGAGCTCAGGTGAAATGGCCTTGGTTATAATAAACTATAATTAAAGCTCTTCGATGCCTGCTGCAACTGTGCATGCCTATGATTCCAGCTATTCTGGAGGCTGAGGCAGAGGATTCCAAATTCAAGGTAGCTTGGGCAATTTGGTGACACTGTCTCAAATTTAAAATAAAGAGCTAGAGGTTTAGCTCAATGAGGGACCCCCAGTTCAATCTCCAATACACCAAAACAAAAACAAAAACGAAAAAACTCCTTTGGAAAGCACTCAATGGCCAATTCACTGAGGTTACTATTTATTCTGGGACAAGCTAGAGGTGGGATGTGACTTACAAATCCAAATGTTTGAGAGAGGGCTTATTTGCAAACTCAAACATATCAATGGTGGTTTGCAGGAACTTGGAGTTTTTACTCCATTTACCCTTAGGGGGAAAAGATATTTTAAAATCTTATCATGATGAACCTAAACCTAAATAGCTACAAAAATAAATGCATAATCACCATCACGACCCACCATCACCAATCACCAATCACGACCCAAGTCATAATATCACTTCTGAACAATGATCATTATTGCAAAAGCTTGGGCTTGGTGCTTCTGTAAGATCTTTTCTCATTATGTAAAAAGAAAAAGAAGATAAAGTAGAAAAGAAAATAAAAGCCCAGTTGTAACTTGTAACCCGAGGCCGCCTTTTATCAAGGGCCAAAGCAATTTGTCAGTGCTAGCAGCCTGGGTGCTTTGTGAAGACTGATTTTGAGGCAGTGTCCAATCTCAGGAAGAAAGAGCACTGGTATTGGTTGGCAGGGTTCTGGACAGTCACAGAAGGAAGGACAGGGGATAGGCAAACGCCAGAGGCTCCACTATCCTGGCCCTAGACCCCTGTATAATAGTTGAGTGGGAGAATTTTGTCACTTGAGTCCAAACTAAAATAGGATTTAGGAATTTGATTCCTATTTCCTCCCACAAGCAAAAGTTAAAGTCCCAAACAACCCAGGAGCAAACTTCATTCTCTTTTCCCATGAGGTGGACAGTTCTTTTGTGGCCTATGGAGGTGGCCACCGTGTTCCTCACAGGCATTAGGAATGCCCAGCCACATCCGGACGGGTGTTCCACCCTGAAGCAGAGCCACTTGCCAAGCTGTTCTTGGTCCTCCTGAGGACTTCATGCTCTCAGAGGCCTCCACCCTTGAAGGCCTCCCCCAGTTAGGAAACCTCCGGGCAGGTAGGAGCAACCCAGCCAGGCCACTTACCTATCATCTGTGCGATTGTCTTCTCATACTCAGCCACGATCTTCCTGGAAGAGACACGAAGGCATGTTGGATCAGGGTTTACTCAGTCACAGAAGCCTAGGAGCTGGATGCAAACAGTGTGACACCCCGCACACTGCACTGTCCCTGCACACCCCCAAGAGCTTCTAAACACAGTGCTTCCCCCACACAAACCCTTCAGTCCCTCCACTGCCCACCACACCAAACCTTCAATCCAACGACTGAAGCTTTCTTCGACCAGGACCTATCTCCCCCAGCCATCTCACTGCCTTCCGGCCATCTCAGGAACATGGCAGTTCAATGAGAACAAATGATTTCTTGTGACTCCGGCTTTCTCACCTCCACGCCCTTGTCCATGTTCACATCCCCTCTCCACCTCCACCACTCACAGTGTTACTCAAGGTCCTTCTCCAATGCTCTCTCCTCCAGTGTTTCCTCCTTCGTTCTAGCATTTCCTCTGCATGCTCTGCCAAAGCCTCCCATGTCTGGCCTCACAGCACATGAGCCCCGTCTTCTCCACTGGAGGAGAAGCTCCTTAAGGCCTGAAGCCACTTCTTACTCACTTGTGCTTTTGCAGCAGGGGATTGTTCTAAAGGAGCACTTCTCGGGGAGTCTAAACAAACAGCAGCTGCACGGAAACCTACAGTCTCTATTTAGAAACCTACTTTTTAGCTACCCCCAAGCGGAAGCAGCATGGTGTGAGGAGCCCTCGCTCCAAAGTCAATTTTCTGCAAGAAACCTCGGGAAAGGTTGCAGAGTTTCATTTGCATTATCCAGTGACGGTTTCCCCGAGAGAACCAACACATGCTAAAGCCCAAAGATCCAGGACCCAAAGGACAAAAGACCACAAAGACTCAGGGCTAGGTGGCCTAGTCCCTGCTGATCTGCATCACGCAGGTATGTGGCTCTGAATTCGGAGCTGGGGGCTCCCTTACTACCTGGTAAAGACTGACCCTTGAGTCTGATCTGAGGCTCTTGGGGGGAAGTCAGTAAGGTTAAAAGACAATGAAAGCAGAGACATTTTGCGGTCTGAAGGCTTCATACCTGTTGGGCATCTGTCCCTGGCTTCTTGACTTTCATTCCAAGATCAATACCTCAACTTAAACAGATCCACAACAAGAAAGGTTCCCATGACGGAGCCCGTCCTTTCTCAGTCCTACACATCAGGACTCCTGTGTTTTCTGAGATTAAGCAAAACCCTGCATCCAAGAATCACAGAACTATAAGGCAGGCTTGTGTCCTTTTAGAATGGTGTGGCTAGCATGGATCTAAAAGTGCTTTAGTACACTGTATTTTTGGCTTATCTTCCCAGAGACCCCTAGAGATGGTACTCTCACAGTGTCTGGCATCACTGATGAGGATGCAGGGACATGTAGACCCAGAAACTTCTCCAGGATCCCAAGGCTTCAACGTGACAGAGATAAGAAGTAACCCAGGTGTCAGACTGTGGAGCCTCAGTTCACAGGTCTTATGCTCTAAGTTTTGAGGCAGTTACTGACTCGCATGCTTAGATGACAAAGGTGAGGCACAGAGTTAAGTACCAACCCAAAGCAACTAGGAAACAGCATGATTTTTTACCTGGTCTGGCTCCAGAGGCTGCAGGGGCCATCAAATGCCAGTGCTACTGCAGCAGCTAGTGACATCTGAAATCCTACCCTATCAGTTAGTGAACAGCGCCTCTGGGGCCCCCAGGGGAGCAGAGGGGCCTTCTTGGTATGTCCTGTTTTTTGCCAGCAGGTGAAAAAACGAGAGCCACTTACTACTTCTTACTTCCCCACAAAAGAGATCTTTTTTAAAGGCTGAAAAATAATGCAGCTGCAAGGATCCAGTTTGGATGCAGAAAACCATGCTTGGTTAGCCTCCCATGGGCTAGGACAAAAGCATCAGTGGAAAGAACAGAAACATATGGATTTTCAGGAAGATTCTACTGTGACCTAAGAAACACGATGTGGTTACACAGAAAGTCTGCTTGCTACCCCAAATGGTAGCCATGAATGTAATGGATTTAGACACTCTAGTGGCACTCAGCATTGCAGTTAAAGGTGCTATGTATTACATGCTGGCTATTTACTTCTATTATAGAACAAATGAAAATACATCATTCAGGGGCAAGTTGCATGGTGGAACCGGAGGCTGGTGGAGAGAAGAATTTTCATCATATACACATGTATTTATCATACTGCATTCCTTTGCCAATGTGCAGGCTGTCTTAATAACATTGATTTACTGTCATAAAAAAATATGACCCTTGCAAAATGAAGAAAAGAGGACTTCTCCAACCAAAGATACTATGTGGGGAGCCCATCAGTACCAGCTATTACCAGGCCACAGGTCAGCACCCCCAGGCACCAGGAAGGCTGAGTCCCAAGACTGACCTCATTTCCATCACTTCCCGCCGGCTCTCTTCATATTTATCTTTCCACTCTGAGACCTCTCTCTCCTTGGTGATGACCTAGTATCAGAGGGAGAGAAAGGTGAACTCCAAATGAGTGAATTCCAATTTGACCAAATCAAGGAGATATCAAATAAATATGTTAAAACTTTCTAGACCAAGCCCTAATTACATTCTGAGACTTACAGAGCAAGAGACAGAAACAGACTAGAGATCAGACTTTCATAATGCCCACGGGGAAGGTGTATGCTTTCTGTTACACACTAAACAAAGCCACATGTGTCTGTTAACGTGCGGTCTAGATCACACCCCTCCACCAAGTGCCACCCATCTATGTCTGCAATATCCAGAGGAGAAAGTCTGTCTCCGAAGACATGGATTTGTGGCTGTACATAACACTTTATTGGCTGTACACACACACTTTGTGGTTATATATACACACATTTACAAGTGACAGGCATCATCTCTCCCACAGCACATGCCACAGTACCTCAGCTCTGGCAACCTGGAGTGCAGAGTCCAGGTCCGGCTGCTGGAACAGAAGGCCTGGAGGCTTTTCCACCTCGGAAGTCCCGATGCGGGAGTACAGGGCTGTTTTGGAGATGGAGACATCTGGTGGGTGAGCGGCCTCTCTCTGTGGAATGAGTTTTCATTTAAAAAACAAAAGTAAAAACAAAAACACTCCAGTTAACATCCGCCACATAACAAAGAGGGCTGTACTCATCTTGCTGCGAGCTGCACTCATCCTCAATTGCACGGTTTTGAAACAAAAAACATCCAAAGTATGCGAAAATGCAAAGACTAATGAATGGGGCAATGGCAGGTACAATTGAGGGAACTCCAACAATCTACCTGTGCAGGCAGATGGAGGCGCTGAGAGTGGAGAAGCCTTGGCAACTCAGAGCCCTTGGTGTCAAGTGTGTCTGCAGCCAGCTTATCGCTGCCATTTATCAGACACCGAGCCACTTAGGTATTGTGCATAAAGACCAAGGTTATGATCCTGCAGGCTCCACTTCCCAATGAAAAGTTTGCTGGTGAATGATACTGAATTCTAGTCTATATTTGCCTAGCTTTGAATAACCACAGATTTAATCGCTGTTGTAAGACTGGCCACATTTCAATTTAGGAGGCCATTTGTTTGAAAAGATCCATTTGAAAGGCTGTGATTCACACAAAACTTCAGGCCCACTGTAGTTGTCAACTTCAATAAGCAATAATGTCTGGATACAGTTACGTTGCCATTAAAACTGTTACATCAGTGGGAAAACTGAAAACTGGGTCAATCAACATATCCACATTTGCTGATTAGATCTGCAACAAGCGGTATGACCCCCACCCCACTCAACAGACACTGCGGTGAGGCATTCTAGCCTCCTGCAGGTGACAGATACTAACCTCAGAGAGGTCAGGAGCAGACTATGATTATTCTTAGCACAAAACGCCCAGCAATTTGCAGCAGAATTGAAAAGCAGTGTTAGGAGCATCATCAATCAACTTGGCCAGGTTTGTCAGCCTACTTCTACCACAACAGAAACAAACCAATTGCACTCTCAGTCCTATTCATTAACCTCATGGTGCTCCCAGCTGCCAAGGTGACCTGCCCCCTGGTTACATATCCATTTCAATGGGACGTGATAGTGGTCTAACAGGCAGAATGGGGACTGCTCCTTCCTTGGGAAATTATGAGGATAAATTGAGTGGTGAACAGAACACCAAGGTTTAGTGGAGAAAGATTTGGGGACAGAGGATACAGACTGATAAAATGCAGCAGGTAGGATTACAGAACCAGCAGCAAACAGAAGGGGTAGACAGAAGGCACACAAGCAAAATGTCTCTGCGATCACAAGAACCACTGTGCTTACCTTACTACAGCACCAGGGATAGGGAAGGCCCTTATGAAAGGAAACAGCTTAGAAAGCTCAGGTGCAAGTTTAATGGATAGGACTGGAGATTACTCAGTTAGGGCTCGTTAGTTGTATACATGCAACATCCATCATCTAGGCTGTCCGGGAAGAACTCCTGCTGCCTTGGGTTCACTGACCCCACCTGGCTGTCAGTCCCTGGGCTTCCCCTGAAGTGGTACCACACGATCAGCTGGTCGGGGCTGGGAGCACACAGCCCCAGGCAACCGGATCCCACAGACTCACATGTCAAATGGGGTGCCAGGACCTGCTTAACCTCCAGTCCTCAAGACACCTCTGTTAACAGGACACCCGACCACAGCACAAGTGACTAATCACAGGCAGTAGGAAGGCTGGGCTGTCGGAAGCAAAGGCAGCCCCAGACCACAAGGTTCTGTATGGATGGGCTCATCACTGCTATCTGAAATGGTTTCCACAATTCTATCTGTTACGGAGAAACTTCTCAAAAGTAACGGAAAATTATTCCTAGTACCTGGAAATTATATCAACACTCAGTACCTGTACTTAGGAGAAAGTTCATAATCCTGAAAAAGACTTAAAAAGAAAAAAACAAACTGTTCTCATTACTTTAAAATGTGTTCTTTTAAAAAATTAGACAATTTTAAAATGCAAAGAGTATTAGAGCCATCAAACTCAACTGGTCCTTCTGAAGACAAAGAAATTGAGGATCTGAGAGATTTAGTGTAAACGTTTCTCAAAACGATATTCATCTCTGACCCAAAATAGACTGGCTCCCTTAAGTGTTAGGGAAAATTAATTTAATTAAAACTAACTTTACCATACTGGGCAGGAGGCAATTATCACCAATGAAAGAATTAATCATCTTTAAGCTTTTTAAAACAAGGAAATGAATGGGAAATGAATAAAACAATGATCTTTCTAAGCAAATGCAAAGGGATACTACCCTATACAGTGATTTATGCTCACGTTTCACTGCGGCCACCTGGTGTTTTCAGTAAAGGAACAAATGACTTCGAGACCCATTTGAATTAATGTTCTAATCAAGTATCCACATATTAATGAAATTCATCATACACAGTCTGGTTTCTCCTTACAGCCAAGAAATGTGTTCAAATGCAAGTAAAAGGTTTGTCTCTCACGGGTATTTTAGGATCAGATATTTTTAGGCTGAGCTTTGTTTCTCACATAATTTTCTACTTGCTACTTTAAAGAGGCCCAAAAAAGCTACTAGAATCACACACTGAAATGTAAAAATGGCCACAGGCCAGAAGGCAAGGGTGTTTGCAAGCAATTTCAACTCTCATCTACTCCTGAAGTCTTGGGCCCTGCGAGAATCCTTGGTCCACCACGACCTCTTCATATCGGCACGCCTTACAGAGACTGGACCCTCCTGCTGGCCTTGCAGTGGGGGATATCCTCTCACTCACCCTGACTCAGTGCTCCTTGTGGTCTTTCCTGTCCAAAGACCTTGGGGGCTTGGGCAGTACCAGGATCTCTGTCCCAGAGCAGTCAGAGGCCAACTGTGGAGGAAGTAAGTGCAGATCCAAGGCTTGGAGTGCCATGTGGGAGAGGCCACTTGGGGTGAAGACCAGAGCCATGAGTAGCCAGTGGCCATGGCAGAATAAAACTAAGTCCATGGAGTGTGGACAGGTATTCAGAGGGTATCTAAGCCACATGGCACCAACCTTCCGGTCCTTAAACACAAGCTCCAGGTGATGACTATTTGTTCTCAAAACTGGCAGATAAACTGAGGCCTACAAGACAGTCCTTTCTTACTGCTCGCCAGACTGTTCTCATGGCTTTCAGACCTGTGTCCTTCTGTGATCTCACTGTCAAATGGTGATGGGACGGTGTGGCTGGCGAAGAAATAGAACACAATGCTAGGCTGCTCGCCAAGGATACAAGCTGTCCCTCAACCCAAGTCCTGCTCCAGCTCGTGTAAAATTCAGGTTCCTGCTCGTCCAGGCCAGGACTCTTGGAGGAATCAGACAAGGAAGTCATACCACATCTCCTCCCCATGGTGCTGGTGCTACCACTCTGAAGCTTCCGCTGTACAATCTTATCCTTTAGTCTTTAGAGAGGGTCCCTAGAAAGCCCAACAGCTCCAAGATCACAAGCAGAAGTCACGCAAATCATAGCAATGGCCCCGTGCTTTGCACTCTTTGGAAAGCCATATAGTCAGGACATTCCGATTCTGTCCGACCTGATTTACGCTAAACCTAGGGCTGCTGTGCAGCGTATGCAGCAACCCTGGTCAGATTCGCCCCTTGGAGGGGAAACCAAGTTTGGCCAGAAGTATGTAGGAGGAAAGTAAAAGGGAGATTGTAGGCCAACACCCCAGCTCCTAGGAGCCTCTTATTTCTAAGGACTTTTGACTAGTGAAAAAGGAAGCCTGTAGTTCCTCAAAGGCTAACTCAGCTCTGTCAGGCTAAAGCGAAATGACAGGTGAAGGTACTCTAAGAAACAACCAGAGGGCCAGGGATATAGCTCAGAGGCATGAGCACCTGCCTGGAAAGTGCAAGGTCCTGAGTTTGATTCCTGGTACCAAAAAAAAAAAGAAGAAAGAAACAACCAGGTACACCCCCACCCCTGTTCCTGCTGATTCTCATCCTCGCAATAGGATATCCGTTATTCCAAATGCTTCCATTTTTGTGTTAGCACCAGTTTAAGTCCACACTGCCAGACAAGGCTGTCACCTGCAGCTGAAATACAGCAGCAGAAAGAAGAGCAAATTAATTGGATACCCAGATGTGGTTTTCTCTGTCTATAAATCAGCCTCTTCTGACACAGTGAGGGGCCATCAAGAATCTATGTGTAAGGAACGCACAGAGACCTACCTGCAGGTCCAACGATCCCCCTCAGGTTAGCTAGCTACAGAAAGGACATCTACTTTCCATGGGCCAGAGTTATCAGATAATGTATTTTCCTAAAGTGATATAAGTTCCTATGGTAGAAAAAGATGTTCCTTATACTCCAAGATAGTTCTACCCCAGTAGACTATTCCTTTTAGCCTGCATTTCAGAAAAACATAAGGAGGTGGTTAGGCCTACACTCAGTAGATCCATGTGACATTATTTTCTAAATCAAAATTGGGACACATGGTCTGAGAATAGGTTGTAAGTGACAGGTCACCAACTCCTGTTTACATGTTTGCTGAGGACCACCTCTGGCATACTCTTAGAGGAAGGAGGCAGGGTACCCCAAAATACTTCCATCCCAACTGAAACTACTCAGCAGAATATGCTCAGTTGTGCATCAAACTTCTATTCAGGAAAGCACTGCACCTACAGTAGCCAAACTTAGGCAACTCACTCTGCTGTTAAGCCATTCCACAAGGATATGAAGAGGTAAACCTAGCGTGTGTGTGTATGTGTTTAAGAGGAGTCCTCACTGCTTAATGGTTCCTAAAATTCTCATTTTCACGGAAACTTAATCCAATTTTATAGTTTAGCAACAAGAACAACGACATCGCTTATCTGTATTTACATTCTTACCCCTGCCTGGAATCCCCAAATTCCAAGTCTGGACACCTACAGTGTGACCACATCCTATCTCTGAGAAGAGTCTTTCTTTGGGCTGCAACCAAAAAGACCACATGTGTGGGCCCTTGGGGCATAGCAGCAGCTGGAAACCCTGCTCCTGCACCAAGTACTGGAGCTCCTCCGTGGATGAAACAGACAGGCAAAAAAAAAAAAAAAAGGAAAAGTGAGAAGAAGGGAGAGAAGAAGAGGAGAAAGAAAAGAGGGAGGAGGAGGGGGAAGAAGAACTTTCCTACACGACACCACACCACTGATCTGCATATTGCTTGAGGCTGCGCTGGCACAGAAGTGACAGGCAAGCAGCTGTGACACAGGCCAGATATAAACCCTGCAAACCTGAAATGTGGACAAGCGGCCCTTCACAGAGGACTGTGCACCAGTATCTTGCCTAACGTCTCAGGGCAGGTGTTGCTTTCACTTACTAATTACTGCTGATTCTCAGTGAAGTTAGATGTGAATTTGCAGAAAGCAGAAAAGTTGCAAATTATTTTTGTTCACAGGGAAACAAATGATATTTACAGGAAAAAAAAAAAACTTCAAAGGTAATAATTTTTAAGTCTTGCTGAGTCAGTATTCTATCTAATTTTGCCACCTTACTCTATACTTAAGCTTCTCCTGTTCTCCACTTAGCCAGCACTACCATCTGTCTGTTCTCTCATTCTTGAGTTAAGCAGAGCTTAGGTATGTGTGTTTATGCAAGAGTTACGCTTTCAGTTTTTTGGAAAGCACACTTTGTGGGACACTCACAACACCTGCCCGGCTGATGGTTAGCAAAGCATCCCTGGACCACGGTGGCACACACAGCATTCCAGGAGGCAGTGCACTGCAGTGACAAACCAGTACCTTGGTGTCTTGGCGGTTGCGGGAAGCCAGGGCAATCTGCCTGGCCAGCTTCAGGGCTTCTATCCGCATGACGGCAAACTCTAACTCCTCCTGCCCGACGGGTGGGGTGTGAGCAGACCGTAGGGGAAATGCATCAAGACAGACGCGATGTTTTCCACATCCCAGAAATGAATGTGCCACATAAATGTGTCATGACAGGTACTCGGGGGGAAAAACACACGCTCGGCTCTCTTTCACAGTGATCACCTCAGCAGATCATGAAACAAGTGTGTTTAATTTCCTTTTACAAAACTGCCCCTTTGAATATCTATCAAGAAGTACTATGCAGTGGAATAGGAAGTGATTTTGAAACAGTCGAAGTTTTTATTGTACTGTATTCTTTCATTTCTTTCCTTTCATTTTGCTTAAAGTTGGCCAACACTTTCCATAAACGGATGTGCATCTCTCAAAAGACCTTCTTGGTGTGCCCCAAACATCCTAGGCTAGGATATCAAATTAAGCTGTCAAATTTAAAGCACAGAGTAGATAATCATTTTGGTTCCAGATGCAAGACTGAGTCCAGATGTCATCTCCATGGGAATCTGAGGTTGCCTATACATATAAACAGCTTGGCTCAATGGTGACCTAACACCTTTGATTCCATGAATAAATCACAGAAACTGCCTTCGGGGCTATCAATACATCTGAATAATGACTGTTTAGCCAAAATTCCAAATTGAAACAGAAATGGTTTGTTCAATGTGCAATTGCACAATTTATATAATTTCAGCATCCTGGATAAAGTACACCACATAAATCAGTGTCTGAGGGGAAGATATTTGATCTGGAACATTCTAGGCAGTTCCTCATTAAGTACTGCCTCAGTTCCTTTGGGGGTTGGGAGTTCATTCTCTACTGAGGTTTTGACAAATTCCCAAAGGTCACACGTGGGCTACAAACCTGAAGTTTCTGAGCAAATACTGGGGGGTTCTTTTCTGCTAAGTCAGGTTCCAGATAGTCAAGCGCACCACAGAAAGAGGCTGGATGGGCCAGCCTGCTGAGGAGGGCATCAGCAGAGGCAAAGGCGCCCTCGGGAGCTGTCTGAAGGCCGGTAGAAAGGAGGACACAGAAGAAAAATAGAGGAGAGCAGAAAGTGATATTGATTCTAGACAAGGACTATGCATGCATTTGCTGGACATTTGTGCCTTATGACTAAAGAGAGTATCAATTAGCTGCCACTACTCCAGGGGTCATCAGGAGGAATTCCCATGTGCTGACAATGAACATCTTAAGCCTGGCAGGCCCAACCCTCTCCCCCAAAACACAGACTTAAGTACTCTCCCCACCTACAAGCCACCCTCACTCTCCCTAGCCAATAGGTGGGAGGTAAGCTAGCTGACGGTTTTTCAAAACACAATGAAACTCATCAAGGAAACAGCTCCAGGTATAAACATCAAAGGAAATAAGGTCTGGGGAAAGGTCATTTTCTAAATAATGGAAAAATGATTTTAAACAAAACAAAGTGTCTCTGCGTAGACTTTAAAATCAGGGGCCAACTTTGTAGAAGGTGAACCATGAGTCCTTCATGGTATTTATTTGCAAGATGACTGATTCACGTCTAACCCTCTTTTTGCCCACTGTTACGTTTCTATTCTCCAGCTCAGCATTCAACTGCCAGACAAATGAAGTCTTCTAATACAGAACAACCAAAGTAACATACTAAATCAATGCCTTCAAGCCTGCTGGGAGATTTGCTAGGTCAGAGATAAAAGAAATTAAATGTGGAAAAACCTTCACATATGCATCACAGACCCCAGGCAGACCACAGATGCCTGATGGACACACGTAATAACATGCAGGGGGTTGGGTGGGTGAGGCCTTTGGCTCAGGTCTGTTGGTTTTGTAAGGTGCTGGGAGGGTCAGGAAAGGAGAGGTAAAATTCCTGGTCTATAAACCAGAGAAATCTCGTATAACTAAGACCCAGGCAAAGCACTTAAATCCCAAAAAGGAGGGTGCCCCCTGCTCTACCACTCTCTGCCTGTGCCAGAAAGACTATCAAGGTAAAGTACTGGCTGAGGATGGTGCCGAAGGAACAATTTAGTCCCAAGAGGGGACAAATGGAAAATAAATAGTGCTACGTGTAAATAAAAGCATTGAGGTAAGAATTGCCAAACCATCCCGGTGGGAATGGAGGGCCTTTCCCCCATCATGACGATGTGGGGCCCAGAAGCTGGTTCCGGTGTCCTGGGAGCCAGGACAGGCCCCAGAGAAGTGCCAGGGGGTGGTAACGGCACCATCTGGCCCTGGTCTCACCCCCAGTGATTTCCAGTTCCTCTCACTCCACTTACAATTTCAATTGCCTCTGAAGGGGTCCCCAAGGCCATGACCTCCAGGTCTTTCTGGGAAGACTTCTCTGGCACTTGCAAGTGTGGCTCTTGGCTGATGGCCAGCCCTCGTGGGACAGGATGCTGGGCTTTTGCTGCAGCATTCACCAGGGCTTCACTCTCCTCAAAACTGGACCTGAGGAAACAAAGGGCATCTTTAGCATCCTCTGACTGGAATCAACCAGGAAGCCACAATCAGTGCAACAGGGCTGTGTCCGCAGAGGGACACGGGCCAGGTCTTTAATGGGCATGTAGCCTCCCAGCTGGGCAGACAGAGGAAAGGTGTGGCCCAGCTCCACCCTAGTGCCAAATGACAAGGGAGGGGCTGAGCACAGATGCCACCGGCTAAGGAGCACAAGCTCTGATGTTAAACTGATAGCCAGTTGCTCAGCTGTGTACTCTGGGGAAAGTAACGTACCAGAAATGTACCTTTGTGAAGATTAAATAAAATGCTGTATTGTGTACAATACTCAGCACAGCACCCATCCTATGGTGGCACTACTGTTGTTGTAGTAAAATTATCATCTCAGCCCCCGGCAGATTCAGTAAGTTTGAGAAGTCAAACCAAGAACTTTGAGTCTTGCATAATGTAAGGAGCAGGCAGACAAGGATGGCACAGTCCAAATCTTAAAGCAATATCCATACTTGCCCAAACACTGCACCTCTCACAACATGAATCCTGACAGATGCAAACACTGCCATCCACACTGGTGACATCCATTCATCAAGCATTACACAGGGACCGGGAACTCTGACAAGTGCTTCCCACACATCACTGCTCTGGAAGCCAGGTACCTTGTGCCCGCTGCACAGCTGGGAGAAGCTCTGGAGACTAACGGCCTCTTTTTATCTTCTTAAGTACCTCTGAGGTCAATCTATTACTCTCACTTGACAAGTGGGGAAACTGAGGCACAGGGGAGGGGGTGAGTAACTCACCTTAGCCAGCAAGGAATGGAAGTGGGGACCCAGGTTCTGAATGGTGTGTCATGCTCTTTACCAATGGGCAAATGACAGAAAGAAGTGTGCAGATGGGGATGCAATGGGGACCAAGTCAGCTGTTAAAGGATTTTACCTTAGTACAAAGAGCCCAGTAACAAAACCAAGGAAGGGATCTGTGTCCAGGTGGACAGAGACTGAAACTGGGCTGTCTGAATACACTAAAGGGAATGGAGTCAGGATAACGCTGTGATAGTGCTCAGAGGCTTTGGGGCCTCTGGCCCGGCTGCTAACTCTCTCATCATGGAAGTCATACCCTGAACACGGCGTCGGGGAATCTGACATCCGGACTGGAGGAGACTTGATGGGGCTCTCCTGAGATGCGTCAAACATAAGGTACAAGGCCTGTTTCTTCGGAGCGTCATCGTCCTGCTGCAGGGATCAAAGGCACGCATCAGCTTGGTACAGTTGGCCTGCACATGCCACTGAGATGAAAACCAGAGCACTGTCCAGTAGGGATCAAACAACTCATCAGAGAAAAGCTTTCACTTCCAAGTGATCAGAAAGAGGAAAGCAGGGCCTGGCCAGAAGATGGGTAAAGAGAGGGAGCAAAGGACATGGCGGGGAATATGCAACCAGATACAGGTGGCCATGTGTGTAAGGGGAGAAAGAACTGGACGTGTCGCTTTGCTGACCCTGCTCAGGCACCAGTGTTTACTGGCCACCTTCTCTGGCTCAGACACTGCGCTGGCCACTGAGGATAAATGGAAGACTAAGGCAAGCTCCTGGCTTGGGGCTGCCCACTGTCAGGTGGGGAAGATCAGCTTGGTGACCTAAGGAGGAGCATTGGAAAGAGGGACAGAGCAATGGACTGAGTCTGGTAGGACAAGGATTCCTCTCACAGCATGGGCAAGAAGGGCCTGGGCAGAGAGCAAGGTGTGGGCAGTGGCTAAGGACTCTAAGGGTCCAGGCATGTTCAGAGCCAGCAGAAAAGCTCAGTGGCCTGGTGCACAGGGGTGTGCAGTATGGACCCAAGTGAGGGAGTGGGCGGATCAGGCCACAGTAGGGCACCAGGACTAAACCCCTGAGGGTATGTGCACTAGCATTTCTTAGTGATGAGGAGACCCTGAGAGAACTCTGCATTCTGGGGTGACCACAGAAGCCCCCATCACAGTGGCCAGTGGGCATGTTGTTCCTCTGCACTATCTCAAAATCTCTGGATGGCTTGTGGCTCCTAGGTAAAGTAAACTCCTTATGAAATCCATGCATGAGGCCTGCTGATGTCCTGGTCAGCAAGTGTGGTGCGTAAGAAGTGGTCTCTGGTGGTTTTGATCCCATTAAATTAACAGTATCAAAATACATGAATGTTCCACTTCAGTAGTAAAATGTCTTCCCCTTGGTATTATACATATGGTGTCAACAACTGGGTTGCAATCTCTGAGTGAAGGAGACACTCTTTGAGTGATATAGCAAGAGATAAAGATAAAACCCATGTGCTGTACTCGGCAAGCTGATTTCAGTCTGGGCACAGGTACACTTCCTGCCCAACTTTCAAGTCTACTGCACTTTAGAATCAGCAACCCCTGCATCTATGAACAGTGCATAGAAAGATAAAGCTAAGAGTCACAAGTCCAGGACCATTTAGTGTCATGGCAAGCTCTCTGGTACTACCCCATACCCCATCTCCAAAGCCATCACTGAACAACAGCACAGCAAGAGGGTACACCCTGAACAAAATGCCTGGGCGGTAGTCACGAAGCCAGGAAAGACAGCTGCCTGTTATAAGCACTTAAAATGAACATGGGGGGGTGGTTACTGCCCAAAGGATCAGTTGCTTAAAACCATTATAGTGAACCCTTAATATCCATGCAAGATTGGTTCCCTGCAAATATCCAAACCCCTTATACAGAATGGCATAGTATTTGAGTACGACCCACATATATACTATCATATACTTTAAATCATCTCTAGATCATTTACAATACCTAATAGGATCTAAATGCTATATAAAGTTATGATATATTATGTAGGAAATAATGACAAGAAAATAAGTCTCTACATGTTCAGGACACATGTAGTTATTTTAGACTATTTTTGTTCTAACGCTGAACCTGTGGACATGGAGAGTCAACTGTAATTTAGAAAACAGTTAATAACACTTACAAAACACTCCCCCTTAAAGAAATTCTGATGCTCCCATTCTCTTGAGTCTAGCAAAGTAATTCTGCGGGAAGCCTAATCCTCTTCTCCCTTTCACCTGAAAATACCATGTGATGCGGACTGAGTGTGAACCTCAAGCTGCCCTCCCCAGTTCACCATCACCGGGCCCCTAGATGCTGTGGGTACAGAGGACAACAGTGTGGGCTCTGAGCTCCCACAGATGCTTTGCATGGGTAGGGGAGGAGGTTCCTGCCTGTCACAGCAAAGGGCAGAGCAGGAAAAACTTACAGGTAAGGAGGAGCCAATTTTTTCCATATATTCAATTTCATAGGAGTTTCTGTAATCTAACTCTGCAAAGAAACACAAAGTGAGATTAGTGTCGGAGAAAAAATACAGAATATTTGAGGAATGCCCACTGACCCAAGCCTTGGGATGCAGCTGCTCAGCTATTTTCAGTTAGTCCACTTCTTGCTGGCAGGGAATCCGCCTTTAGGGAATCTGAGGGAGTCCAAAGAAGTGAAACAGTGTTGGCTATGGGCAAATCTGACAGTGCTGTGCACCATATTCTGTAACTCTTGTGTGCAGCATGGAAGGACACTCCCTGATGACATCTTTGAACTGGACCTGTACTTGTCCCTCTCTGCAAATTCAGCTCCAGCCCCACTGCAAAGCAAGAGAAGGACAAGTACTATTCCTCCAGTGTGGCTTGTAAGAGAGGCTTTGCAATCACCCGGACATTTCCTAAATCTCTACCAGTGTCTACAGGGCCAGGCCGAATCAATTTTCAAATGAAAACATTATTAAAATCCAATTAGGAAGAGAAATGATGTATTTTGAATGGATTGGTGACATTAGGTTGCAAAGAAAATTCCTGACACTTATTGAAGACTAAAAGCCTCTCTTTTTGCCTCAGGTACCTACAAGTTCCATAGCTCTGCCACTTAAAACTCCTTGTCTAGTACACAAATTCTATGCCTCACATGCAACTTACTGTATGCCTCACATGACCTGGGCAGTGAACACGGTGAACAGTGAACTCGAAAGTGACTCTCCAGACAGCAACCACAAACTAGAGCTACCAGATGCCTCTATTCAATAAGAAATCCAAGATGGGGTGACATCACTGTGCAAACAATATTAATGGCAATCCATAACGCTTAAGGTCTCAATTTTTTTGAATGAAGATAAATTTAGGCAGCAATTCTAATGGAAAGCTCCATTCTTTCTGCACATTGCTAAAGGCATCACCAAAAACATCTTCTTTAAAAATGAGCTCTACAATGAACCATTCTGAAAGAATTGTCATAAACCCAAGCTTCTCAGCATGTGGACAAGTTCTCAGGAAGTTCTGAATCTCCTTGGTAAAGCAGACACATCCTCCAGCTAATGGGACTGAAGCTGGCTTTGGGGATGAATGGTCAAAATGGCCATCTCCCTCCCAGATATTTACACCTGCAGGTATGCAGAGACAGTACATGAACCACATGCTGCTGAGATGCAGTCTGTAAAGCGCACCAACTGTCATGTAAGCCTGCACCAACTTAGTACCTAGAAAAGCACTGGCTTATGAAGATTTGATAGCCTCTTCACCTTAAAATCAGAAGCAGATGGGGATAAGGGGAAGGAGTGATGGGCAAGGTGATTTCTAGGGCCTCTGCTGGCTCTATCATTTTCTATGCATGAGGCCCCAGTGTACAATTTTATTACCCTATTAGAAACTGTTAAAAGTGGAAAGATAATAGTGAACAAGCTGCTTCTTCCAAGCTATCACTGGTATTGCCAAAGCATTACATAATCCTAAATAATTTAAATAATCGTAAATCATTTAAATCTCTCAAGACCCCCTAAATGGCACAGAGCACCCAGGGTGTACCCAACAAGTAAGGGATCACCAAGAAATTTTTCAGGGACCTGTGGCCCTGGCTCTGGTTGCCAGCTCACCACAGCGAAGCACTCTCCTGAAAGCCTGGCTCACTCCACCGACAGCCGGATCTGGGTGGGTGAGTTTCAGGTCACTGAGCTCACTTGTCTGCCTTCTCTCCAACCTGCCAAGGGGGTTTCTCTCTCCAGTGTCCAGAGTCTCCCATTCTTCCCTTGAGAGAAATCACCTGAGAGTACAAAAGGGGGTTCTCTGCCGTGCCGTCCCCCTCCCCCCAGTAATACTGATCTGTAACAGGCCTGGCTCTAGAAGGCCCACCCTCCAGCTGAGAACTTCACCCTCCTGATGGAGACACGTGGAGATGCTCCCCCAGAAGATGCCCTGCCACTTCCAACCATAGCCACATGGGGTCTTTATTTATCATTTACACAGCAGCCTGGATAGGATGAAAGGAAAATGAATGTCTCTTCCTGTCATCAGGACGGTCTCTGTATCTCAAAGAAACATCTTATTGAAACTGACTTTATGAATCTCACTCATCTGCTATGAATACTAAGTCTCACAGGGTAAGCATGGGGTGAAGCATGTTCAAACTCAGCCTCCTTTTCACACATGGCCAGATCCGGGTGGCAGAGCAGGGAGGGTTATACCAACAGCACCAAGTGGGCCATTCTTTTTACAACTTCAAGAGAAGCTCACTTGCTAAAGCTTATGGCTGCTTCACACCGAAGAGGTCCAAAGTGATTTTTAATGGGTCCTCTCATGTCCAACGACTGCTTCTGGTAATTATTTTGTATCAGGGTGCTGTACAGTGAGACAGCCTGAATGTCATTTTCCTGACTCTAGTTGCTAGAGCTTTGCTGGAGGACCGAAAAGAGCCATAATCCGAAGCCAGAGGATCTGTATTCCCAACATCAGAGAAACCAACTTACCTGACTACTCTGTGACAACCGATTCATCTATAAAATGGAGTTCAAAGTGCCACATTTTTTGGATAAAATGAAACAGTATAAAATCAAATCCACACAATGGGTACTATAAATGTAACAGATTGGGATCTCTTACATTTTGCTCACTGCTATTATTGCTCATTGCTAGTATTTCTGGAACGTTTCATGTAAGTGACATAAGGAGAGAAGAAGACAGCCCTTTGGAAAGGAAAGTGGCAGCAGCTCCCAATAGCCTCAGGGGCCCCCTTCTCAATGTCTGACACCGTGTGTCACAGCAATGGTGCCCACCATTCAAATAAATGGCTTAGGTCCCAAGAAGGGCACCCTCGCCTCTGCTGGGACGTGGGAAGAAGCTGATATGGCTAAAGGGAGACAGGGAAACTGGGTGACCATCAGAGGGCCATGCAGACCTGTGAATCTCAAAACAACTGCTCTATGAGCACCTCTTAAACCAGAGACAAGGGAGTTCTCAGAGGTTACAGAGTCCCTTACCCCCAAGGGACCTCTCATGCGTTTGAAAGGACTGCCTGAGAGGAGGGCACTGATTACACAAGGCTGGGTGTTTGTATCTATCAATCTGCGGTTTTTAAACAGTGGAGCTTAGGAGTTGCCACAAACAGCTGATGTATTAGAGCACAATTGTGCTATTGTAATCACCTGGGCATCTTTCTAAACTAGTTTCACTGGGGTTTTTGAAACATTAAAGACAACACAAAGCTCTTCAACACTGCTCTTGGGCACCCAGAAGGGGAAGCACAATGAGCTCACACCTCCTGCTGCAGAGGAAGGCAGGGAGCCTCGTCAGAGCTCACGTAAATAGCGGGGCAGGAAAGTGCACAGCGTTAAGTCAGACAGACCCAGTTCGCCATGGATCAGCCCCACAACACTGGGCAAGTCGCTTAACAGCACCAAGCCTGTGTTCCTTCATTGGTAAAGCAGGGAGCTACAGACATCCATAATGCTGGAAGAAGGAAATGAAATCATGTATACAAGAGACTCAGCCCATTTCAAGGGACATGCTGAACCGTGGACAGTTACTGTTTTCCTCTTCTCACCTACAGAGTAGTATTAGAATGAAGTAATTATTATTTCTTCCTCAACATTTCATTTCCCTGTGGCTACTGACTTCTGTGTAAGAAAGTCTCCAATTACAGCTGCAGTCCTATCCTAATTCATTCAGACAATACATCAGCACCCCCATGCACATGTCTGGTGTTGCTGAATTAACCTTATGAAAGTAACAGGGATGGAGCTGGGGATTTAGCTCAGTGGCACAGCGCCTTGCCTGGCAAGCGCAAGGTCGTGAGTTTGATTCCCGGTACCAGAAAAAAACCAAAAACCAAAAAAAAAATTAAAAAAAGAAAGTAACAGGGATGATCTGATACAGGGCTCTGCATCCAATGGCCACAACCCAGGGTATCCTGCAGAGGTGGAGGGAACAGTTCAACACCTCCTGAAACTATAAGTGTAACGATGGATTTTTAATCCCATACCAGCCAAAATTATAATCATGACTCCCAAACTTTCCTTGCTGTCTTCTCTGAGGCAGGTTTAAGAGAGGTGTGTTTCAAACTTACACACTTATGTGTTTGTTGAACACTGAGCTTGTGAGACATTTGTTTTGGGACAATGACAAAGCTGAACAAATAGATGGTACCACTGAATGAGGCACTTATTCACTTAAAACATATTGAGATTTTTATTTCTAAGGAAAGAAGTCCATGTATTTGATTTCTAATAAAACCAAACCACAGACATAGCCCAAACTCGTATGTTATTTTATTCTTATCTACAATGCCAAGACTAGATGAGTTTTGAAATAATCTTCTCTGATATTTAGAAGTTTCTTGTACACCTCAAGGGACATGAGCCAGTAGAAAACCACAGGCATGGTCAAATGGCAAGGTCAATATTTGGGCCGTAATGTCCTCTGCCGCTTCTAGGACATAAACCTTCTCCCCATCACCTTATTCAGGTGATACCTGTTGCAAAGATCCAATCAACTGAGTTGGCACTGAGCGGTTTACCTGCCAGCCTTGTATTTCCTTTATGTCAAACCTGTCTTTAGCCCCTGATGTTCAGGGTGCCACAGGGGACACATAGGTACCAGAGTTCCTGCCTGCAGAAAGTGCAGTCTAGTTGGGAAATAAGAAAAGCACACACATCTTCACCATGCAGTTGTAAGTGCCCCACCTTGGCCCACAAGCAGTAGAAGCAAGCAGAGCAGGGAGTGGATGTCTAGGAAAATGCTAAGACAGGCAAGGTGGGAAACAGGAAGTAGGGTACAGGGCAGGCACTGGCCATAGCCTAGCAAGGTGTGTCCCAGGGAAAACCTGTTCATTCAGGTGAGGCTCATGGCTGACATGTGGAAATAGAGAAAAGTAAGAATGGAAGGGAGGCTCAGCCTGGGGCCCACGGCCTGTGGTATCAGGCTAGAGCAGTGGTGGCGAACCTATGGCACACGTGCCACAGTGGGTTGTTTGCATCATTGAAACCTCTGAAAGTTTCACCATCATTGGACTACAGTGAGATGGTAACTTTGAGGCCTCCCAAACTCCAAGCCAGGGGAGCAACCTGACAGCTAACTGAACAGTTCTACTTTGTAGAAAATAAAATGCTAAGAAGTCCAAGTATGTATATATTGGAACCGTCTTTTCATGTTCACACAAAGGAAGGCAGCAATGTATGAAAAGAAAATAAGCAACCCCAAATCTGAAACACCTGCTTCTATTATAAACTAGGTCTCACCACAAATGCACTTGTGGGTACCA